CATCCCAGTAGTCTGAGACCCAACCTCCATTCTCGTTGCTCTCATAAGGGATGATAGTGTTGCATAAAGGCTCTTTCGTGATCCAAGCGTCTTCCCAGAAACGCACTTGCCTGCAGATCTTGTTTCAAAGCGAAGCTTTCTTTGCACGAGGGGCATAGCAGTGGTAATGCCCCTCCATGCATTTGAAGCCCCATGTTTTGGTTGGAACATCTCAACTCCATGTCTACTATAAGCGTATTTGCCTTTCAACACATGTGTCCAGAGGCTCTTATCATCATTAAGCATTCTCCATCCCAGTTTAGCCATAAAAGCTAGGTTGACATCCTTCGAAGCCCTTAGTCCGAGACCACCAGTCTCTTTTGGTTTAATAACTTTTTCCCATCTAACAAGGTGGCATTTGTGTTTATCCGAATTACCACCCCAGATGAATCTCCTAATTCGTTTATCAATGGCATCCCAAATACCAGCCGGCATGAAGGTAGATTGTATAGAATAGTAGGGTATAGCTTGTAGAACGGATTGGGCGAGAATGTGTCTTCCCGCTAACGTGAGATATCTTGTTTTCCAACCTTCGAGTCTAGAGTCAATTTTTTCCAGGATGGGATTGAAGAGATTTTTTGTGACCCTTCCATGGATAGAAGGGACCCCAAGGTATCTGCCCAAGTTGGGTGTAGCTGGGATCTCTGCTATTTCAATAATTCTGTCCATTTCTTGCGCGTCAACATTTTTGGAGAAGAAAATTTAGGATTTGTTGATACTCACCTTCTGTCCTGAGGCTTTACTAAACCTCTCGAGGCAATCCTTAATAACACTTATTTGGTTCTGAGATGCTTCTGCAAACAAGACCAGATCATCAGCGAAAAATAAATGAGAGAGGGTAGGGCCATACCTGCTGGTCTTTATGCCTTTCCATTTGTCAAGCTGAACCTGATCTTTAATAATAAGGCTGAGTCGTTCCATGCAAAGGACAAAAAGATAAGGGGACATGGCATCTCCTTGTCTTATGCCCCTGCTGGGTTCGATCCAGTCAAGCTGGTTGTCATTTCAGAGAATGCCAAGCCTGGTGGTCTGCACGCAATGCATAATATTTTTGATCCAGATGTCATTCATGCCAACCCTTTTAAGCGTGTCACGTATGAAATCTCAGTCCAGTCTGTCATACGCTTTTTCAAGGTCCACTTTCAAGATCATGTACCCTTTCCTGCCTTGCTTGGATCTCATGGTATGGAGGACCTCCTGATAGACAAGAATATTGTCTACAATATGTCTCCCTGGTACAAAACTACTATGTTCTCTTCCAATAACCTCTTTAAGGATCGGTTTCAACCGATTGGACATAGCCTTCGTTATGACCTTGTAAATGACGTTACAAAGACTAATCGGGCGGAACTGGCTGGGAGTAGTAGGGCAATCAACTTTGGGCACTAGAGCAATGAGAGTGTCATTCATACCTTGTGTAAGGAAACCATGGTCAAAAAAATCCTTGGCCTGTTTATAAACTGAGCAACCAACAACATCCCAAGCTTTTTTATAGAAGCACGCGTGGAATCCGTCGGGGCCTGGGGCTTTTAGAGGTCTCATTTCGAAGAGGGCATCTTTTATATCTTCCATAGTAAAGGCCTCGTTGAAGGAGGTCCAAAGAGAGTCCGATATAGTAGGGAGAGCATTAACGCCCAGTGACATGGCATCAGGTTCAATGTCTTTTTTGAACAGGTTCTCAAAGAACTCTCTAACCCTCAACTGTTCCTCAACATCTTTGTTAAAGGGCACCCCTTCATCATTTAAGAGGCGGTAGTGATTTCTCTTTGCTTTTTTATTCTTGGTAGCGGCGTGGTAGAATTTTGTGTTTCTGTCCCCCGAGGATATCCACTCTCCTCTTGCTTGCTGGAACCAAAGGATTTCTTCTTGATGAAGTACCTCCTCGAGTTCCTGTATAATTTTCCTTTCCAGCTTAATGAGGCCCTGGTGCTGCATACGATCCAGACTTCTTTGGATGCCTTCAAGTCGCCTTTCCAGCTTTCTTTTACGGGAGTGAATGCTTCCAAACACAGCTCTGTTCCAATCTTTAAACTTTTGTGCCATAATATCCTTGTTACTCCACACATCTGCAGAATTACTCCAGGTTTGTTTGACTATATCGAGGAAGCCTGCATGGCTAGTCCAAGCTCCCTGAAACCGGAACGATGTGTGGTTCGTTTTGGTAATCTCACCAAAACAGATCTTTACTGGACAATGATCAGAGTTGTTAGCGACAAGGTGGGTGACAGTGGTCCTATCGAACGTGTCCAGCCAATTCATTGAACACAAAGCACGGTCAAGCCTAGCACCTTTAAAAGTCGGTTGGTCAATACCCCATTTCCACGTGAAAGTCTGACCAGAATAACCGGGGTCCACAAGGCCCTCATCAAAAACCCAGTCTCTGAAGTCGCCATTTCTGTGGCTGTTTCCTCCATCCTTATTAGAGGTTTCATCATTGTTGAGAATAACATTGAAATCCCCTGCGATGAGCCAGGGACCGCTTACCTTTACTTTTGACTGGCTGAGGTCTTTCCAAAGCCGTTTACGAACTGCCATAGACAACCGTGAAAAACCAGTTGGTATTATCCGTGTCCTTGACTTCCATGTGCATGAACTGAGGGTGGGAAGATAGGATTTCCATTTACAAAGCATTGTGCCAGAGGATCCAAATCCCCCCGCTATAACCAAGAGCTTCAACACGGGCCCATTTGTCAAAACCCAGCTTCATGCAAATACCATCTGCGTTGATCTCCGACGTTTTAGTTTCCATTAGACAGAGAACATCAGGCTTGTGATTTTTGATCAACCATTTTGCGGCTCTCAGGAACCTCATTGAGGCCGCACCTTGGCAGTTCCATGTGATAACTATCATGGAAAAACAAACAACAAAAAAAAGGAAACAACAGCACACAATACAAAGCAGAAAACACGCAGAAGCAAGAGCAAAAAACACAAGGGAAACAGACCTGGGGTGGAGCAGCTTAGAGCTCCACCTCCATCTCTCCCCCATCAGACAAGCCAATGCTGTCATTATCCTCATCATTGATCACAAGCAGGTCGCCCTCATCACGTTACAAGTCGTCGGGGGGATCGTTCAAATGCTCCGACTCAAACCCATCAGTGAAGAGAGGATTCATGAACCCTTCCTCTGTATCCATGCAGATGGTCTCCGACCTCTTGCCCCCATTACTATCACCTCTGACCAAGGTATGTTCATTTGCAGCAGCCGCTTGATTTGCTTGCTTCCCCCTCGCCTGACTTGAAGTTGTTATCCTTATCGACGTACCAGCTTGTCGGGACTGATTCTTATGAGTGCCATGGGTGTTATTCCCTTGTATCTGTTTTTCAGAGACCTGCACTGCTGGCCTTTTACCCTTGTCTAGCCCAATATGATTGGGTTGGGGCTCATTTGTGTTAATTGGCCCAGCAGGTACTGCCACCGTATCTGCCTCAATCTCAATACAATCACCATTTTGCTCATCTGCCAGCGCATTAAATCTAGACCCCCTTTTCCTTTCCTTTAGTATTTTTGTCATTTTGGCCGTTAGCTCCATTATTTCCATCTTTAGTACCCCTAGTATCACGCTTGGATTGATAATTGGTTTTTTTCCTTTTAGGTTTTTTGACAACCATCCAGGATCCATAGTCTTCCACGATTTTCGGGCGGATTAAAGGGATTTCACTCCTAGATTGATTCTTGCCTTTCCGGTTTTCAGCTTGTCCGTTGGCCTCCTCGGTCGCCGTCGCCGGGTGGTTGCCGCCGGTGCGGTCTTGGCCGTGTTCATCCAGTTCCACTGCGGGGGCGTTTTTCGGGCATGTATCTGCGCTATGGTCGTACATGCCACACTTGAAACAGATTAGGTGGAGACCTTCGTACATCACCGGTCGGATTTTTCTCCTTGACGTGAACTTTGATAATAGGGGTTTTGTTATATCCACTTCAACACATATTCTCGCAAACATTGCCCTGGATACCTCGCTGGTCGCCGTGTCGATCATGATGGGACGTCCCATCTTACTTCCTAACTTCATTAGAAACTTATAATCATAGTACTCCGCCGGAAGGCAAGGGAGCTGAGCCCACACCAGGACAGATTCAGTAGTGTCAGTTAGCGAATCGAAGTTCGACCTCCACTCCTTGACAATCAAGTAATGATCGAGGACCATCCAAGGTCCTCCAAACTTTGCGAAATTATAATCCTCTTCCGAACCAAATCTCACCAAATAATATCCATTATCAATAGTGACAAGGTCCATTCTCGATTTAGGATGCCACATAGTCGTGAGCCTACGGAGAAGGTAAGTATAGGCTGTATAGCCAACGTTTCTGCCAAAAACTTTAACAATCAAGATGAGTCTCCACTTACGTCGCATGTAGAATTTCTCTTCCTTTGTAAGTGTGATTATGGGGCAGATTGGGTCTTCCTCCCCCTCATCTTCATCGGCTTCATCATCAGAAATGAGCTCCAGATCTTTTTCCGTAGGCCCATACCCCATAACTTCGTTGGCAGCCACCGCCTTGTAAGAGACGTTAGCCGTCGTTTGTTCCCCTTCCGTGTTCGGGAGGGCATGAGCCTCTTCTCCAGCCTCCATCTCCACCTCTTTCCCCGTAGCAGTTTCTCCGGTCTCTTGAGGTCCTATCTTAGACTTCTTCGTGCTTCTCTCCAAGAGATCTTGGTCCTCCGATGACCTTGTCGCCAAAGGCCTCGATGAACTTCCCAAGAGCATTTTTACATATGTTGTATTATAGTTAGGTTTTAATGGTCTTTTGATCTTATCATTAAAGATACTAGTATTCGACCCGTGCGATGCACGAAATTTTTTTTTTTTATTTTTTTACATTTTATTATTGTTGAATTTAGCTTTAAATGAAGTGAACTATACAATATATAATAAATTTTATTTATAGAAATAATAAATAAGAAATATAAGATATTTGATAATGAATAACATATTTCATATTGATTATAGATTGTTTTTTGAATACTACTGACTCTATTATATTGTAGTATATGTTCAAATTACTTTCTCGACCTACTGAAGCACAAAGAGCCAATAATGCCTCCACTGAGGCTCGAACTCACAACCTCCCATATGGGACTCCAACCCGGGTGCCATCTGTGCACAAGGTGCTTGGCGATTATAGATTGTTAAACCGTTCATGATAAACAATATTTGTATTAAAATTACAATATTGTTGAGAATCCCTACATATCAAGATACTAGCATTTTGTACACGCGATGCGCGAAAACCTATGCCCAATATTAAAATATTGTTAAGTAACAAAATTTAAAAAATTAGTTAAAATTATGTTTCACAATTCCTTAAAGTGATTATACTTTTGAATTATCATATATTTGAATAATATAGTGATCAAAACAAAAACAAAAATATTTTCATATAATAATAATAATAATAATAATAATAATAATAATAATAATAATAATAATAATAATAATAATAATAATAATAATTTACAAATAATACTAAGCTAACACCCACATATATGAAATATATATTGATATGTATACACAAATAATATACATACATAATATATATATATATATATATATATATATATATATATATATATATATATATATATATATATATATATAATTTAACATTCATATAAATATTTAATTAAAATATACTTTATAATTAAATTAATTGTTATATGATAATTTTAATAAAATGATAATTAAAAATAGGAAAAAGATATGATAGATGTAGGTGTATGGTAAGATTGGTGGATAGATTAAATACTAACGGTGTAAGGGTGATTTTGTCCAATACAAATAAAATGTACAACAATTAAAGCAAAATGTATATATTTATTAGCATATAAAAAAGGGACAAAAATCAAGGACATAACTTGTATTAGCACATATTATGTTTTTAGATTAAGTCCGTGTGGACTACTCACCGTAGATACAGTTACATATAGCTGACCATGATTAAAGACTGATTTCTTTAAAAGAGCAATACATGTGACAAAGTTTGTCCTTGACTTTTGTTTATAGTCATCACATAAGATAACACCACAGGAAATTGTTGTCGTGGATCAGATGGTTTCAAGGACATTCTTGAAATTAATACTTTTGTGCCAATATGAGTACTACACATTATTTTTGCCTCAATAATGTGATCTGACAATCGAGTCACAATTAACCTAGTACCGTTACACAAATCAAGGGGTCGAAGCGATCAATATTACACAATAACATCACCGGAGATCCAACCTTCAAAGGTAATCCCTTTTTTGAGTGGTCAACATTTTCTACATGAAAAAATAATAAAAAATTATTTATGAAATTGATAATATTAAATTAGTATAAGATTCTATAATATACAATTGTCCAGATTATATATAAATTGCCAATATATATATAATAAAAATATAAATAGAGTTAATTCCAGCATTGGTCCTCTGACTATTGCGATTTTCCAAAATTAGTCCTTGACTTTTAATTTGGACAAAAAAGACACTTGACTTTCTAATATGTTCCAGTAATGGTCCTTCCGTCAAATATTAGTTAGAATGGCGTTAAGTTGAGGGGTAATGTGGTCATTCCATGTTGGTAAATTACTTATACGGTCTTTTACAAGGGATTGACCAAAGACGACCACCGGAGTAAACTCTCAAATCGCGACAGCAGCCAGTAGCGACGACTCCAGACGATTCCACCGCGACGCTGCCACAAACCTCCGGCGAAATCTGTGAATCAGCGGCGACGATGACAACCTGCTCTCTCGGCCACAAGGTTAGCTAGCGACTCCATGTATCCACGAACTGTATAATCTAATTTTCTTAACCCTAAGTATCAAAATCCCCAATATGTAAACTAACAAGAATGCTAAAATCCCTAATTCTGTAAACTAATTTTGTTAATCCAAAGTATCAAAATGCTAAGATATACTATGGTGATGGATGCAAAGTGGCGGAAAGTGGCGCACTGTGGTGATGGATTCTACTGGAAATTGTCGCACTGTGGTGATGGATTCAAGTGTCAGTCAAGGTTCCCCTTCAAGATGCAGTCCAAGTTCCCCTTCAAGAGGCAGTCCAGGTTCCACCAGTGAGGGTTCCAATTCAAAAGCCATTCCAAGTTCCAGTTCAGGTGCCAGTTCAGGTGCTAGTCCAGGTTCCCCTTCAAGTGCCAGTCTAGCCTGATGTTATTACTCAGCCTGAGGTGGAAGATAATCAATGGGAGATTCCAGATGATGTTTTGGATGCTCATTGGCATCATATTGAGGGCAATGATGGAGGTAATTGTTTGTTCACTTAGTTTACTGCCCTTTACTCCAATGTTTGTTCACTCAGTTTACTGACCTTGACAAACATGTCTTGTAGGCATTACAAGTGTTAGAGAGAACCCACCAAAAAAACCAAGAAGGAACAAACTCCCAATCAAGAAGTAGCATACAAGATCAGGAGATTTCAAGTCTTGTTAACTGATGTCTAGTTACTATTTTTTGGATACTATGTATTTTGGTACTGCAAATAAAATGTATTTTGCTACTGGAAATGGTGTAGTTCATTGCAGACATAATGTGTAGTACAAAAACTGTAATTTAGCTCTGTTTTGGTGTTGCCTTTTGGTACCTACTGGAGATGGTTTGCAGATATTAGATGAACTGGAATGTAATTTGCAGATATTAAATGTTTTTCAATTTGCAGATATAATGCTACTGGAATGTAATTTGCAGATATTAGATGGTTTCCAATTTGCAGATATAATGCTACTGGAATGTAATTTGCAGATATTAGATGGTTTATAATGCTACTAGAATATGGTTTATAATGCTATTGGAATGTAATTTGCAGATATTAGATGGTTTCCAATTTGCAGATTTAAGTCCAATAAATTTCCAATGTAAATTGCTATTTGGCAGATTATTGCCATTTACTACTGCGATTTTTTTGCTACTGATTTAATGCTACTGGAAATTAAAGTACAAAATGCATACTGGAATTGTATTAAACTGCTATTGAAAATGCATTACTGTAAATGCATACTGTAGCAAAAAAATTCCAGTACAAAACAATCTTACAAATTGAAAATGATAGTTCATTACAAAACAATCTTACAAATTGAAAATGATAGTTCATTACAAAACAATCTTACAAATTGCAGGACAATTCTATTTTCCCTTACACATAACCACTACTGTTCCAACATAAGAACCGTATTTGTTCTAGGTGCATTGATTGTTATAAACTTATAACTACCAACAACAAAAAAAAAAAAGGCATATCAAAATTACAGTAACTATCCTAGTACATTTCCAATTACTACCACTGCTTCTTTGCCCATCAACTTTAGCACAAGTTAATATGCTTCGACAATTTCCAGTAGAATCCATCACCACAGTGCGCCACTTTCTGCCACTTTGCTGTAGAATCCATCACCATAATAAAGAAGCAATACTTTATAGAAAGAAACAAAAATGGTCCCTAGCCCAGCACATGGATATGCGTAAAGAAACAACATATAATGTGCAATTATATAACAAAGAACACAACACAAAGCCCATATTTGGTTCCTACTTCCAGCTTTTTATTCTCCTAAAGCTTGACAAGAACACAAAATTCAGTGCAACAAAGTACATACCTGGCGGATGAGTATTGCGACAATTTCCAGTAGAATCCATCACCACAGTGCACCACTTTCCGCCACTTTGCATCCATCACCATAGTATATCTTAGCATTTTGATACTTTGGATTAACAAAATTAGTTTACAGAATTAGGGATTTTAGCATTCTTGTTAGTTTACATATTGGGGATTTTGATACTTAGGGTTAAGAAAATTAGATTATACAGTTCGTGGATACATGGAGTCGCTAGCTAACCTTGTGGCCGAGAGAGCAGGTTGTCATCGTCGCCGCTGATTCACAGATTTCGCCGGAGGTTTGTGGCAGCGTCGCGGTGGAATCGTCTGGAGTCGTCGCTACTGGCTGCTGTCGCGATTTGAGAGTTTACTCCGGTGGTCGTCTTTGGTCAATCCCTTGTAAAAGACCGTATAAGTAATTTACCAACATGGAATGACCACATTACCCCTCAACTTAACGCCATTCTAACTAATATTTGACGGAAGGACCATTACTGGAACATATTAGAAAGTCAAGTGTCTTTTTTGTCCAAATTAAAAGTCAAGGACTAATTTTGGAAAATTGCAATAGTCGGAGGACCATTGCTGGAATTAACTCAATATAAATATATTGAACTATGAGGAAATTTCAATTTTGGTCATATGATTATAGGGGTCTTGTTAATTTCAGTCCTTAATTTTTAAAACTGTCAATTTAGTACCTTAACAATGCAATTTTTGTCAATTTTGGTGACTCCGGCCAAATTGTCGGTAAAATTTCGCCGGAAAATTTTAATTGTTAAAATAATTAGGGTATTTTGATCATTTCACGTCTCTTTTCTTCATTCTAGGCGAGTCCATCCCTTCCTCTCCCGTTTTCGATGATTGCAATGAACTAAGATGATGGGGAAAGGAGGCTTGGTGATATTAAAGATAGGGTTTAGAGGGAGAAATAACTCCGAAAACGGGAGAGAAAGAGATGGACTCGCCGGAGAAGAAGAAAAGAGGCGTGAAATGACCAAAATACCCTCATTATTTTAACTATTAAAATTTTCCGGTGAAATTTGGCCGGCAATTTGCCCAGAGTGATTAAAATTGACAAAAAATGTATAGTTAAAGTACTAAATTGACACTTTTGAAAGTCAAAGACTGAAATTAACAAGACTCCTATAGTCATATGACCAAAATTGAAATATAATATATATTTAAAATATAAATTATAAAATATAAATATAAATTTGCAAAATCATCATTATATATGTGGACAGATATAAAATCAATATTAAAAATATTAATTAGAGCAAATTACACTTTTGGTCCTATGACTATAGATGGTGTGTTAATTTGGGTACGTGACTTTTTAAATTTAGTCCTGTAACTATCATTTTTTAGCAGATTTGATCCTCCCGGTCAAATTGCCGGTGGAATTTGGCCGGAAAGACGTTCGACTTTTTAAATCAAATATTGGTGGGGGCAATTCGGTCTTTTTAATTGTTGAACCGAATTACCCCACCAATATTTGATTTAAAAATTCGAACGTCTTTCCGGCCAAATTCCACCGACAATTTGGCCGGGAGGGCCAAATCTGCTAAAAAAATGATAGTTAAAGGACTAAATTGTTAATTTTAAAAGTCACGTACCCAAATTAACACACCTCCGATAGTCACAGGACCAAAAGTGTAATTTGCTCTATTAATTATAAATATAAATACATATACCCACAAATTAAAATTCTGATAACAAAATCCTTAATACATTTTGGGCCTAAACATATACGGAGTATATGTTTGTAATTTAATTGGCCCAAAATCCGCCGATAACACTCCCAACCCATATCTAACCCTAAACCTAGGTATAAAAGGAAGCGAAGGTTTCGTCTGTTTTGTTCGTCCGAAATCTAGATCAACTGCAACCCTCAATTTGCTCTCTTCTCTCTTCCGAAATAGCGATCGCGTGCTTCTCTCTTTAGAAGTCGCGATCGACCGCTTCTCTCTTCTGTGCATCGCTGATCGTCTTCTAGTCTCTTCTCGAATCACGATAGTCTGTTTGTCTCTTCCGATGTCGTGATCGCCTTCGTCTGTAGCAACTTCGAAAAATTTTCCTTCTTTAGTTCACCGAATATGAATGCATGCAAATTCTTCGGTAATCTATGTCAAGATCGTTCGTAGGTATGTTTCTTGAAGTTTAAGTTCTACTTCTCTACTTTTTTTTCTGAATCTCTTTGTATAAAAAAGACAAATAATAATAATAATAATAATAATAATAATAATAATAATAATATGAACTGCAAAGCAAAGACAGTATACTTGAAATGCATAATTGAATAAGAATAGTATACATGTGTTACATGAAACATGTTGTAAATAAACTCAAAACTATATATTAGAACACATTTTATATTATGAAATAATACAGAAAGAATGTATTGAAATGTACTTACATTAATTCATTTTTTTTATGTTGCACTGTGCATCAGTAAGAATGTATTGATTTTCAATAAAATCTCATAATTACCAAGTAGTCTGACTTTCAAAAATAACATTAAACTTCAGTCTTTCAAAAAACAACATTAATTCGAACAGTCCTTAATTTCTCATTTTTTGACAATGAGAAATTTTCCCTTTTTCTTAGTACTTGAAAACTCATCAAGTAGACAACGTTTAACTGACCCCCCTTTTCGATCAAGATCAACATCTTCATTATCTCCCAAGTTTACTAGTCTTTCTGCTTCATCAGCAGTGAAAATTTAAAGAATAATTTAAACAAAAAAGAGTTGAAATAAATCAAATATAAACCACAATGAAAATTGATACCTCTTCATCGTGGAAGATACATTCATTGCTTTTAATAGACTTGCTGCTACTGTTATCATGAGCTTCATACGTTCTCACAAGCCTTAGCTTAATTGATAACTTTTTTTTTTGAAGTCATGGGGCTTTTATCTCTGGCCAAGATTAACATTCCAACCTTGATGCTATGTTGTGTTTATATTTCAGATTTGCAGTTGAAGACGATGGAGTGCAATGAGAAAAACAACCACTATTTATAGCCAAATCACTTCCAATAGAGAGTGTATCGTGATTGGATTTCAAAACATAGAATCATTAACGCAGGCATCTGGGAAAACGAAGCATCAGAATTGGGTTTGGTCATTATTACGCGTGAGCCGTTTAGTCTTTTCATTTTTTCCATCACAGCTTCTGTGCATTTAATGTATTCAGATCAGATTCTACTTATTATTTATTTAAATTTAAATGTATTATTATATTTTGCAGTGAACATTTACCAATGATCATTGGATACTGTACCCATATAATAATTTTAAATAATAAATAAATAAATAAATAAATAAATAAATATATATATATATATATATATATATATATTTATTTATTTATTTATTTATTTTTATTATTTAAAATTATTATATGGGTACAGTATCCAATGATCATTGGTAAATGGTGAAAGGAAATGATTGCATATTATGAAAAGATAACCCACAACAATGTTAAGGATATGTGTGGTTGACATTTTGTCTCTTTATATTTGTGGTAGTTATGTTCCTTTAGAATAGGTGTGTTGAACAAGTTGTTACAACCTCCTACTATTCTCCCTCTTTTGTACACTATTTATAGCTCATTATTTTACATCAATGAAGTACAGTTTATAATCTTTACATGGTATCAAGAGTCTTGAATCTCCTACGAAGTTTTTTTTTCCCCTACCCACATGGCTTCCACTACTACAACCACAAACGATATAATCCAACTAAATGCCCCTACAAGCTTTCCCATTAAACTCAATACCACGAATTTCCCAGTGTGGAGACGTCAAGTCCACTCCACACTTATTGGGTTTAATCTTCTGGGTTACATCGATGGTACCACCATGGAACCCGCCAAATTCACTTATACTGCTCAAACTGCCGTTAACCCGGCCCATCTAATTTGGTATCGTCAAGACCAAATCATTGTCAGTGCACTTCTCGGTAGTTGTACTGACACCATACAACCCCTCATCTCCTAGGCTACGACAGCCCACGATGCGTGGCAACGTTTGATTGCTAGTTACACCAGTGCCTCTCGAGGACGTATCATATCCCTCAAGGCCAAGCTCACGAAAAATCCGAGAGGGTCTCCGTCCATTACGTCTTACCTCAATGACATGCGAGCCTTAGCTGATGATCTTGCGCTGGCTCAGTGTCCAGTTTCGGATGAAGATCTAATTGTTTATATATTAACTCAGTTAGGGGAGGAGTACAACTCTATTATATCTGTCGTCCGTGTTCGTGAAAAGCAAATTTCCTTTGGTGAATTGGCGGACGTGCTGACTGACCATGAACGTCAGCTGAAGACAGCGGATGAGACGCAGCAATCGGTACTGGTTACTGCCAATATGACTCACCGTGCTTCGCCACCCCCATGGTCTAACCAGCAGTCAGCTTCCAACCGGAGGGCCCGCACTAATGCCTATAATAACGACGCCCACCGACAAAATTGGCAACAAGGGGGTAACAATCGCTCGAATATTATTTATAAGTTTTGTCATCTTACAGGTCACGAAACCAAGGTATGTCGCAAGCTAGCCAGATTTCTTAAAGAGCATAATGTTGTCCCTATGCAACCGTATATGTCTCTTACAGCTAATGTTGTGACTGGGGCGTCTCCTCCCTGGATGTTTGATAGTGGGGCGTCGCACCATGTGACACCAAGCCTCTCTCCTCTGCAGACTTTCACCGAGTATAGTGGATCGGATGAACTACGCCTGGGTGACGGTAATTCCTTACAAATATCCCACATTGGCCAGTCTGTCATTCCCACTCCTTCTAATGTTCTCACTCTAGATAATATCTTGCGTGTCCCACAGTTACACAGTAATTTAGTTTCTGTTTCCCAGTTATGCAAGACTAATCGTGTGTCTGTTGAATTCTTTGATTCTCATTTTTTGGTCAAGGAACTTCGAACGGGGATTCCGCTGCTACGAGGGGCGAACATAATGATGTCTGTTTTGGACCAGTTGTCTCTCACCTAACAGTTCATGCTACGCAGTTGGCTCGTTTGTCTCAGTGGCACCAACAACTTGGCCACCCGTCGAATAAGGTGTTGCAACTTGTGTTGCAACGCTGTAATGTTCCAGTCTCCATGTCATCTCTGCGAAATTTTTATTGTTCCTCCTGCAATGTTCATAAAAGCCATAAACTGCTTTTTTCTAAAAATACACTTGTTAGCACTAAACCTTTGCAACTTGTTTATACTGATGTGTGGGGACCTAGTGAGTACTCTATTGATGAATTTCGCTATTATGTCATTTTTGTAGACCACTTCTCAAAGTACATTGGATGTATCCCATGAAACGTAAATCGGATGTGTTTCCAATATTCATTCAGTTCAAACAGCCAGTGGAAAAATATTTTAGCCTGTCAATTGTTTCTGTTTACTCAGATAATGGGGGCGAGTTCATGAGACTTGGGCCGTTTTTTAATACTCACGGTATCTCTCATTTCACCACCCCGCCACACACTCCTGAGCTCAATGGTGTCGCCGAGCGACGTCACAGGCATGACGTGGAAACTGGAATGTCTCTTCTTCACTATGCGTCTTTGCCGTCCTCATACTGGACCTACGCCTTTCAGACAACCGTATATCTTATTAATCGGCTCCCTACTCCGACTTTAGGTAACCAATCCCCGTTTTATGTCTTGTTCCAACAATTGCCTAATTATGCCAAGTTACAACCCTTTGGTTGCCTATGTTTTCCCTGGTTGCGCCCCTATAACACCAAGAAACTACAACCAAAGTCACGTCCATGTATTTTCCTTGGCTACTCGAACAGCCAATCCGGTTATAAGTGTCTAGATTTTGGTTCGAATCGTATTTATGTATCTAGGCATGTGAGATTTGTGCCCCATGTGTTTCCTTATAATGATTTGCAAAAGTCATCTAACAGCTTACCTTCTGATTCTCATAATTCAGAATCATGCAATATTTTGTGCAAGTCGCCTCCTTTGTCTACACAGGTAGAGCCCGTGGGTGTTCTAACACCGGTCCCAACACCGGTTCCAACTCCAGTTCCAACACCCGTTCCAACACCAGCTCCAACTCCAGTTCAGAGTCCAGTTCCAACTCCAGTTCCAACACCATCACCGTCAGTTGCGTCCAATTCGTCGTCTCCCACTGTCTCAGAAAACGGTCAACATGCAGCCCAATTCATGTCTGACTCACAACCTATCTCCACCTCCGATACGTCTCAACCGTTGCATAATGTTCGCCGTTCCACCCGGGAGCGTTGTCCTAATCCAAGATATTCTGATTATGTCATTAATCAAGCTACTTCCCATCCCTTGCCTCCTGCTTTAGAACCTTCTATCGCCGCCCAGGCTCTTAAAGACGCTTGGTGGAGGAAAGCAATGGATGAGGAGTTCGAAGCGCTGCAACGTAACAACACGTGGCAACTGGTTCCCTGTGGCACGGCCGTTCCGATTGGCTGCAAATGGGTTTTCCGTGTTAAGCGCAAATCGGATGGGTCGGTTGATCGTTTTAAAGCACGGCTTGTCGCTAAGGGGTTCTTGCAGACTACTGGACGGGATTATTTTGAGACATATAGTCCGGTTATGAAACCGGTCACGATCCATATTGTTCTAACCATTGCTTTGAGTAATCGCTGGGGTTTGCGCCAGCTAGATATCAATAATGCGTTCCTTAATGGAACATTGCACGAGGAGGTGTTTATGGAGCAGCCTCCCGGGTTTGTTGATCCGTCATTTCCATCTCATGTATGCAAACTGACCAAAGCCTTATATGGTCTTAAACAGGCTCCCAGGGCTTGGTACTTAGAACTTTCCCAATTCTTGTTGCGTTGTGGGTTTTTGAAGTCACAGGCAGATGCGTCTTTGTTTGTTTATTCTGCTAATGATATTATTGTTTATTTTTTGGTGTATGTCGATGATATTATCCTAACAGGAAACAATGTTGCGTGGCTTGACAAGTTTGTTGGCACTCTGTCAGCTCAGTTTGCTCTTAAGGACCTGGGTCCCTTGCATCATTTCTTGGGTATTGAAGTAGTCTCGACTCTTAATGGCATGTTCCTGTCTCATAGTCAATATATCACAGATCTTCTGGTTCGGTTTAAGATGGATGGTGCAAAGTCTGTTTCGATACCATTGGCTACTACGGGCAAGTTGCTACCTGCGCAGTCTGGTAGTGTTGCGGTGGATGTCACTCAATTTCGGCGTCTCCTTAGTGCATTGCAGTACTTGGTCATCACTAGGCCTGATGTATCCTATGCAGTTAACCGTCTCTCGCAGTTCATGCATTCACCGACAGAGCTGCACTGGCAAGCCGCCAAACAGTTGCTACGTTATTAAAAGGAACGGTTTGTCATGGGCTGTTTCTCCGCACTGGGCAACCACTGTCACTGAGTGTTTATACAGATGCTGATTGGGGCGGTTGCACTACCGATGGCCGTTCCACCACCGCATACTTGTTGTATCTTGGTGCTAATCTCGTTTCTTGGAAGTCCACCCGCCAGAAGTCCGTGTCACGCTCGTCGACAGAATATGAATATCGAGCTTTGGCGAATGCTGCTGTAGAGGTCTTGTGGATAAAGAATCTGCTTCACGAGCTGCGGGTGCAACTAGTGAAACCACCAGTTATGTTCTGTGACAACCTTAGTGCGATATATGTGTGCAGAAATCCGGTTTTCCATTCACGTATGAAGCATCTGGCGTTGAACTACTTCTTTGTTCGTGACTTAGTCTCTAATGGTTCACTGGTAGTGCGGCACATTCCTTCGTCGGCTCAGCTAGCTGACTTCCTCACAAAGCCGTTGGGCCGCTCTTTGTTTCTTCTATTCCGTTCCAAGATTGGAGTCTCCGACGGATCCTCAATCTTGCGGGGGCGTGTTAAGGATATGTGTGGCTGACATTTTGTCTCTTTATATTTGTGGTAGTTATGTTCCTTTAGAATAGGTGTGTTGAACAAGTTGTTACAACCTCCTACTATTCTCCCTCTCTTGTACACTATTTATAGCTCATTATTTTACATCAATGAAGTACAGTTTATAATCTTTACAAACAATTCAACAAAGATGTTTCGGTGACCCAAAAATGCAAGAAACTAATAGAGCAAAGCGCTGTCATTTTCAATGGGCGGGAAAACAATTTTTTTTTTTTTTACCAAAATGGTATTGCTTTATTATAGAGAAAGAAAAGATTAAGTAATTAGCAACTGTGTTTAGTGATGTTAGCTTTGTGTTTCTTAAATGATTCGTAATATTACTAAGGAAGTCTTATTGAATGCTACTGACTCTATTACATTTTCTTATGACTCAACATACTTTTTCGACCTAATGAAATACACAGAGTCAACTCCACTAAGACTCGATTTCATGACCTCCCACATGAGAGACGTTCCTACATGCTATCTGAGCACAAGGTGCTTGGTAGAACTTGTATTAATATAGTTGATCTCGATTTCTTTAAAAAAATTATATATTTATTTTTATATAAATAATTAATATTTTATATAATAAATAATAATTATTACCCATTTTTACCCTATCAATCATTCGGTCCCGACGGCCCGCGCCCACTGTCTCTCTCTCTCTCTCCCTCTTACAGTGGTGAAGCGAAGCGTGAAGACTACGAGAAAAGCTGACGCCGAGACTTCCATATAGATTTCAAACCTCACAGCTTTCTCTCTTTCACGAGCGTAGTATAGGCTTTCAGAAGCAGCAGACATGGCGGACAGGAGTGGATATGAAATCGAAAGAGGTGGAGACGTAGAATTACCGGTATTCCCTCACACCATTCCTTCTGGGGAGCAAACCGTCTGGGCCGACGTTTCACCTCTTCTCCAGCTTGCTTGTAAAGGTCTATCTCTCTCTATACACACACGTATCTACGTTTTTTTTTTTTTTTTTTTTTTTTTTTTTTGTTTTTGTTTTTGTTTTGTTTTTTTTTTTGTTTTTGTTTTTGTTTTTTTTGGTTTGGTTTGGTTTTGTTTTGTTTTTGGTTTTAAATGCTAGTAAGACTGAAAAGTTGAGAACAGCCCATACGCAATGTGGTAAACAGGAATAGGTTTTTAGTCTGGGAAATCAAAGACAGAAAATTTGTGTCTTGAAATGTCACAGGCTCTACTGAGTGATTGATTAGGGTTATGGAATTAATGTGTTCTCTCTTTACTTGGATTATTTTTGTGAATTCATTGTCAGGGCCTAAATGACTTGTCATGTGCACATCTACAAGTGACTAAATTATATTTGGAGCATTGTTTCAGCTACACTATATATTTTGGATCAAGTTACATTCCTTATTGAACTGTGCATTTTAAAAAATTGCAAATTGTTTTGTATGCTGTATACCTCAGATATGGATGATCAAAAACTACA